GGGAGATGAGCAGGGGTGTTGGTCCAGCAGTTCACTATTCTATTGGTATATTCCCTCATGGCTACAGTATGGCTGCTGCAGCTACAGGTTTGAGGTCTTCATACAAGGCAGAAAGATATGGGGAAGTGTGAAATTTGCATCTGTCTCCTTTATCAGGAGAGCAAAAAAGTTTCCCCCAAACCTCTCAGAAGACTTCAATGCATGACTTGCTGGACAAAAGCATATCCTACAACACCCTTGGATGTCAGAGTCTGCTGAGGTGAGTGGAAGATGGCCAGGAACATCATGACTGGTGGGCCAGCTCTCTTTCTGTGTCTGTCTTCCCCATTGGACTGAGAGCTTCTGGGAACAGGGATTTGCCTTATTTCTTCTCTATGATTTAGAACTGATGACACAGTGTTGCGATGATAAACGGAAGGTGCGTGCTGAGAACCGGCATGCGACGAGCCCTCAGAGTGGCCACCACCGTTGTGAACACTGAGCACCTGCAGTAGCACCCTAAGGCCCTCCACAGCCCTTCTTGTTTGCTGAACGCATTTGACGCTGGGCACGTGTGTGTTGGATGTGCGCTGAGCACATCAGGCACAGTGTTTTGCCCCCTTCTGCCCGCCGTCTATGGTCTTGTCAGCACTTGCAGCAGTGTGACACAGCCACACAGCCGACCCAGAACCTTTACATCTATAGGATGATCTCATCTGGGAGGTAACAGCCTGGTAGGAGCAAGAAGAGCCGCATGGAACAGCACATGCTGCGCCTTGTAAGGCATTCTGCCTCTCTGTGCCTCGGTTCCCTTGGCTCAAGTGAAGGCTGAACCCTCGAGCCTCTCAGGGCTGTGGAGATGAAATGAGAGGGACACATGACAATGTAAGTGCTCAATTAGTGCTCCTTGGTTAGACTACCTGAGGAACTCCTAGGTGGCTCAGGGAAGATGTATACCCTGGGGGCTAGGAGAGGTCAGGTGACATGTGCCACGTGCACAGAGATGTGCCCAGGGGTCCGAGATGACCTCGTTCAAGGTGCTGTGGGTAAAGAGCAAGAGGGGCCAGAGGCCACCTGCCCAGATGGTCCAGTGGGGACGGCGTGGGGTGGTATGGTGGGGTGGCCCAGCCGCTGCCCATGCTCCCCTGCCCCTGCACCCGCTGAGCCCCGAGGCTGGGCCGGCTGTGCTCAGGAGGAGGCGGGACTCAAGCTGTGCTCATCTTCTACATCACAGGGGACCGCAGACTCTTTAAAAGCAGGAAAGTAGATATTTGAGACTGTGGGCTGCAAATCGTTTCTGTGGCATATCCCTATTGTTGTTGGTTTTGCTTTTTGTATTTTAGAGTCTCTTAAAAATGTAAAAAGGCATTCTTGGCTCATGAGCTCTACAGAAAGGAGCTGCGGCCGGATTGGGCCAGCTGGCTCCTGACATGTGCTGGTGCCCAAGGCGGCCGGAGAGCGTCCTTGCTTCTTCCCCGCTGAAGAACGCCAGACTGGTTGTGGCTCTCTTGTGACCTGGCTCCTGGAGCGAGTTCCTGGCTTGTTCTAGAAGCCTGGCAGGCAGCGGCCTGAGAGCCATGGAAGCGCCGGGGGCGGCATGGTGCTGCCCCGGGTGCACCGAGCTGCTCTGGCCCCCAGGCTGCTACTCTCCTGCTGCCACGGCTGCTGGCCAGGGGTAGTTCTGGTGTCCAGTGTGTAGAAAGTAAGGAGATTCAGGGTCCTTCTGCTACATGAGCAGACTTCTTCCTGGTCCAGTCCTCAGGCTCTGGCCCATGGAAGAACTAGCAATGCTGGGCCTCAGAAGGAAGGCCCAAAGGGTTGTCAGGATATGGGTGGGAGCAGGCAGCTCCTTTAGGCTTAGAAGACACAGCAGCACCAATGGGGAGGAACTACAGGAGGACGTGCACTGTGGCTTAAGTTTGGAGAGAATGTTCTCCAAGAACGGCTGAGAGATTATGCCAACTTTCACTCATCCTGAATGTGCTGGGGTAGGGGTGCATTTATTAGCACTTGCTAGGTGCCTTGGCACTGTGGTAGGATACCAGAGAAACAGAGCTCATGAGGACTTGACTTAACTTCTAGGTTTCAAGGAGAGATGAACAGTGCACACAGTGAATGTCTCATGGTGCGTGTCTGAGGCACGCGCGGGGATAGGAACGCTTCAGAGCGGGCGCCTGCTGGGTAGAAGCTGTAGAGCGGGACGGGAAGGCGACCCAGGAAGAGAAAGTGGCAAGACCAAAGGCCAAGGACAAGACCGGGGACAGGGGTGCTTGCGGGGCCAGCCAGTAGATAAGAAAGGCTGGAGTGCAGGGTGCTGGGGAGACACCTGGGGATTCGGGTGCCCACCAGAGGGGAGGAGAGGGCAGATTCAAGGAGGCCTTGCAGGTCAGGCAAAGGGTTTTGCAATTTCTCCTATGAGCAATGGGAAGCCAGAAAAAATGTTTAACCCGGAGAGGGTCATCATAGCATTGACTATGTGCACCATGATATACATGACATATTCTCATAGAAACTTTTTGTGTCAAGACTTGCATAGCATTTCTTTTCCCAGCTGGAAAGTAGGAACCATGATTGGTGTTTCTCCAGGCGCTTTGGAAGGGACCAAGCACAGAATGAGTAGGCTGCAGGAGGAGGATCTTGAGGGCGATGGCAGGGCGAGGAGAGCTGGCAGAGGGGGTGCCAGTGACGAGATGGCAGGGTGGAGTGGCAGCAGTTCAAAAGACACCAGATGCTTGGGTGAATAATTTTATTTCACAACCTGAAATTTTCACTTATCTGTGAATTTATTTTAAAAGCCCATGAAAGAAATCCATACACCAGGTTAAAAGGGTAAACTGCAAAAAAGGGTTTGCAATGAAAAGCAGTGCTCTCTGCTCCTGCTCCGCCCCCCCTCCAGGGGCAGTGTCTTGGAATTTTTTCTGCGTGTCTCCTCCCTGTAGCCACCCCGACAGCGCTGGATAATGCGCTCGCTTTGCTGACTTCTTTACCCATCAGTTTTTGCGTTAATTGGCGCTCGGTCCTGTCTGCCGGAGGAACATCTCATTCTCAGGTCCCTCCCCATCTTCCCTCTCTCAGCCCATTCATGGCGACCTTGAGTTTCTCTGCAGTGATTTTAAGTCATGCACGTAAACCTCTCTTTCTCCTTCCAGCAACTAGAGATAACAGAACCCTCTGACTCTTCCCTTTGTCAGGCGAGGCTGCCCTGCTCTCAACTTTTCTCCTCCCCCATACAGGCACAGACGCCCCTCAGACTCGGAGAACCTTGAGGAGCCTGCAGAGGGCACAGGGAGTTCCCCTGAGGTCTGTTGTTGAGCTTGGATTTGTGGATGGGTGGGTCATGTAGGTGCGGTCCCAAGAGGAAGATAGTGCTGAGCAGATGTAGCTGGGTGTGCCCCCACCATGGCAGACACAGAGCAGTGGGTCGAGGGACAGTGCTGGCTGCACCAGCTGCACCTGTGGCTTAGGAAGGTGGGAACAAGCTTCGCTTGATTGAGTAGAGATTTGAGAGAGGAGAGCAGAGAAACAGACATGTGCAGCTCTGAAGGTAGGCCTCTGGGACACATTCAACATTCCTTAATTTTCTTTGAAAAGAAAAAAAGGCTCAGATCCCAGGTGCTGACCAAGTCATCTTGCATGGAATTCCACTGAATCCTGGAGAATTACACAACAGTGGCACTTTGTAGTGAGTACTACGCTGGGATTCAAACCCAAGGCCTCCACCTCTCAAGCCAAGCTTTTTCTTATTCCCAAGTGACCAGGTTAATTTTGATCAGGGTAGAAAAGAAATCACTTTCCTGCAATGCTTCTGTTGAGGCCAATAGATCAGGAAATGATTGCCGTTGGAAAGGAAGCTGGTTACAGTTCCCGAGAGAGGGCGTGCGGTGGGGGTGGGAGCACAGGAGGAAGCAGGAAGCACCAGGGTTGATCAGGAGGTGGGTGGGCTGGGGGGAGGAAAATGATGATCAGGAGCCTTTATTATGGTTTCTTCAGGAAGGAATGGGTGAGGCAAGGTAAGCAGGCTTAGGATGGGCTAGTTTGAATCATTTCAGTGGGCTCTGGGGCTTAGGGGCTGTACCTAGTTGTCTGGTACCTGGCCCTGGGGTGATGAAGGCAGGTGGGTAGTGGTCTGAACTGGGAGGTGGTTGGGTGTGTGGTATCTGGCTTGATTGGTTCGCATTTGAAAGACACAGTCTTTACCACCTCTAAAAGTTGGCTAACTCTGGGAGGAGCAGTCCTTCCAGAGTCAGCAAGGCCCCAGATGTCAAAGCATCAAAATATAAATAAAAGACATGGTTAATACAACTGGATCTTCAATGCCAATTCAGGTGTCATCTTCTAGAGACTCCAGCCCCCATCTCTTCTGTCACTCCCCAGAGACTTAGCCCTTCCTTCTCTGAGCTCCCCTGGCACCTTCGACTATACCATCATCAACTGTAAGCATCTGCCTTCCCCAATGGGCTAAGTCTCTGGGAAAGACAACAGGTACTAAGCAAAATCCAGAGTGAAAGAATGCAGGTTCCTGTTTCACCTGATGGAGTTTGTAGTGACTTTCATGACAGATGTTGACAACAGGCCTACACCAGCATAGCATGGAGGTATAATTTTGCAGGGATTGAGAGATCTCTGTCATTTCCTTTTGAAGGTCTTGTCAAGCCTTCCCGAGGGTGGGACATGAGTTCTCTGCTCCTCCTGGTCGGTGTTTGTGTGCTCAGGAAGGGAAGTGTCTCAACTCTCCCTCAATACGAATGATAGTTGGCCAGGGGAATTTGCCACAAACTATGCTGTCTCTGTTTTAGGTCATTTATTTGAAGAGGAGGGGAACAAATGGATTACAGAGGAACTTCTGTCTGAAAACAGACTAGGAAAGTTTAAGGAGGTACTTGAGACACTTCACACCAAGGAACAAAACCAGCTTGCTCAAATGTGTGAACAGCATAGAGAAATCATGACTCTGGTATTAAATTATTTTATTTTATTTTTGCCTAGCTGTGCAATCTGTCAAATTACTCAGCAGCCTTTCATAGTTGAAACCAGATATTTATTCATGAGTAGAGGATTACTTTCCAAATAAATTCACACATCAGTGTTGACCTTATTCTTCATTCTTAATGATGGTGCCCAGGGATGTGTGTGTGTGTGTGTGTGTGTCTGGTATTAAGCCACACAACCCACAGCAGGATTTAGGGGCCACAGGTAGAAGGGCCCTGATAGATAGAGTCATACTTAGATTTATGAGAACAGCCACCCTGGCTCATCCAGAGAGAAAGAGTGGGATACGATGAGACCGGCAAATCTGTCATTCCTTCTGTTGGTTCCTACATTGCCTATGAAGAGGAGACAGTTTAGAGAGCTGAGTGTGAGTTGGTGTTTAAACATTCCACATGGCATTTCACACGGTGCGCCACGTGAACCCTCGACTGTCTTCTGTGCCATTCTCTACACACACACACACACACACACACACACCTGTGTAACTTGCACAGAACCGTGTGTGCTCTACAATGTATTCCATATTCCCTCACTAAGGGATCTTCAAACGGAATTTTGACATAATTTTCCCCTTTGGCACTGACTTCAGGACAGATTCCTGTGTCAGATATGACACCTCTTCAGCTTTAATTACTCAGTACTGACAAAGCACATTCACAACCTTTAGCTCATGTGATTCCCCTAACTACCCTGGAGGGGCAGGGGAAGGCAGAGTTTTCCATGTTTTACAGATCAGATGGCATCAACCACCACGTTTAGGGCCCTCAGTTAGGCTGCTGTGTTAATTTGCAGGTATAAACTAAGTTGGTGATTTCTCTGGAGGAAATCAAGAATGATATGGTGACACTCTGGAGGAAAGTATTCATGAGGCTTCATAATTTCACTGTAACTTGAAGCTCTGCAGCCAACTCCTGAAGCCCAGACGTGGCTCTGAAAGAGGGTCTCCGGTTGATCCTCTACTCTCAGCCAGCCACCGGCGCCCGCAGCTGTGTGAGCCTCTGCTCTCTTCCTTGCAGCTTCTGCTTCTCCTGCCAACGAGGTTGGACGCATCGCTTGGGGCCAACAAGGGCAAGCGCCTGAGAGGGTGCACGAGAATAGGACGCAGTTAGGTATTCCTCTCTGGATTGTGCCTTTGAGAGCTGGTTCAGTTTATCAAATTCTCAATGGTTGTGCCTCATTCTCAGCAGCTGCCTTTCCTTCCAAGAGGAGAGTGCTCATTTGAGGCTGCTCATCAGCTCTGTGGGGAAGGGGAGGCAGAGGAAGGGACAAACACTCAGAAGGAACAGGCAAGGAATCAAGGGCTCAAGGGAACAGATCAAGGACTTCTCCTTGATCCTTTCCTTCTAAAAATGTGCCCCGCTTATTTTGGGCCCTGTCACGGGACTTAACTTCATTTGTGGAGGTCCCTGTACTATAATCAATGGCAACCATGTATTTAATGTCTTCTAAGTGCCAGGTACCACAACAGGCATTTTATGTGCATTACTGTATTTGGTCATTCCAACAGAACTATGGGGCAGGTGGCATGGCCATATGGAAAAAGCTTTGACCTTGAAGTCAGAAAGACCTTGTCTTTTAATCCCGGTGCTGGCTCTTTCTGGCAAGTTACTTAGTATCTTGGAGCTTTCTGAGTTTCCTTGCCCATAAAACAGGCATAATACTGTATACAGCAAAGAATTATTATGAGGATTCTATGAAATAACAATACGCATTTACTAGATTACCACCAGAGTACCCTAGTGCCACCATCACCTCTGTCCTCCATACACCAAGGTGTCCTGTGCAACGGACTTTTAATACCTGCTTAAGAATACGTTCAGAATGTCATCAGCCTGGGTGCATAAGGTTGGACAGGAAGGGAAATAAGTTGCACTGACTTTTCTTTTCTCACTCAGATGCGCCTATGCAATGAAGAGCCAATATGTGGAATGTGCAAGCTCTTTGGGGACCACAAGTCCCCAGGTGGCCAAGATTGCTGATGCCTACACAGAGAGGAAAGCTAGCTTTGCTGAGGACATTTGCCCGGTGCTACAGATACCTGAGAGCACAGCTCAAGCAATGAAGGCTCGGCTCATATGGTTCCTGCCATTCCTCATATAAATAGGAGGTCAATATTTCATTCTGGCTTCAGTAATTTCCTCTTCAGGGCACTAGGATGACACAGGCAGTGTTTGAAGCCAAGGGAGAAATCACACATTGCATTATCCTAGATAGGTTCTCCTTAACTTTGTCCTGAAACATGTCCAGTTTTGAAGTACACTTTCCTCAGAAATGGGTGAGTTCTGATTGCTTTCCGGGTTTCCAAAAATGGCAAGTTATTGGCCACATCATTCACCCTCTAAGATAAATAAGACATATCCTAGCTCCTATAGCTTATTTTCCTCATTTCATGACTTTATTCCCCCTGCAATATAGATTTTAAAATCTATGGATACATTTCGTGAGAAGAACAAAAATGTTTAAGTCTCACACACATATGCTGAAAACTAGATAGTTATTTAGAAACAAATTCTAGTGGTGAGCTATCAGTTCTTATAGAGAAGTGATTTCAGAAAAATGGTGAGGCAGAGGCCCCTGGGGACTGATACCTGGAGTACAACACTAATATCTGGACAATACCAGCCACCTATGAGTTGGTACCACAAGTTGGGTTCTCTAGAAGCGGAAGCTGAGACAGATTTTGGCGTGCAAGTTATATAAATCAACACCTGTAAAAGGAAAAAGTAGGATGAAGCAGAGAGTAAGCTGAACTACCATACAGGCCAACAAGCAGCAGCCCCTGCTGGTGGGGACCCTGGAGCCAACACTGCCCATCAGAGTGCCCCATGCCGGGCTGGAGTGGCCAGGCTATTATGAATCCACCTCACTTAGTAATGGGGGCTGCTCTAGGAAAGGCACAGCTGAGGGCAACCCTAAACACCCTGACAGCTGGAGGCTAATGGTACTCATAGCAGCAGCACAAGTACTTCCTTGAAGTTAGGGCAGAATACCTCTGTGTCTACCACAGTTGACCTTCACAGATCTTCTTAATACCAAACAATGTTTGTTAATGTTAGGTTTATTACTTTCTCTTGTGGCCAAGATGGAGTAATAGGGGACTGGATTTACTCTCACTTCTGAAACAACAATGATAAAATAAACATAAAACATATGAAACAATAATTTTAAAGACACAAGACCTCATTCCATGAAAAACAATAATTCCTGAGAGAAAGAAAACAAACAAGGTAAGTGTACAATTGCTCCACCTTGCCACCTTGAGAGAGTGTCCAGGCCATGGCACAGAAAAAAGGAACCCAAGCAAAACGTGGCAGATTCCCTGAGTTCAGAAGATAAAGCTGAGAGTCTGGGGAGAACAAAGCAGTTAGAGTACACAGGCTACAGTCCAAAGAGGAGAGGGCTGCATAGAGAGAGAACTCAGAGACTTGCAGAGAGTCTCCCTTGAATATACAGCAGTGTACTGATCAGCAAATGTTTATAAAGAAACTCCCCAAGGTCAGGGAAGGAACCATATAAGAGATTGGTGCAACAATATCTGAAGCTCAGACAGGACAGGGAACAATGCCTATTCCCACTAACAAGACTGGAAGAACTCGTAAATCATGGGGAAGAGTACTTCGAAGATCTTGCCTCAATAGTGGGGAATAATTAGCCTTAGAATGACCACCACTTTGGATCCACCTAACAAATAATAAAAGCAATACCTGAAAGGATAAAACTATTTCCAAGTAACTCAACTGCATCCCAGAACAAAATTTAAGATTTATAGGAATACAAAAATATCCACCACACAACAAAGTCAAATTCACAATGTCTGGCATCCGATCAAAGATTACCAGGCAGGCAAAAAAATAGAAAAATATGATCAATTATGAGGACAATAGTCACAAAATCAACCTAAACTCAGAACTGAGACAGATGTTAGAGTTAACAAAGAAACCAAAAGTAATAAGCTCTCTGGGAGGCTGAGGCGGGCGGATCCTTTGAGCTCAGGAGTTCGAAACCAACCTGAGCAAGAGCAAGACCCCGTCTCTACTATAAGTAGAAAGAAATTAATTGGCCAACTAATATATATAGAAAAAATTAGCCAGGCATGGTGGCGCATGCCTGTAGTCCCAGCTACTCGGGAGGCTGAGGCAGAAGGATCGCTTGAGCCTAGGAGTTTGAGGTTGCTGTGAGCCAGGCTGACGCCAGGGCACTCACTCTAGCCTGGGCAACAAAGTGAGACTCTGTCTCAAAAAAAAAAAAAAAAAAACAAAAAAAACCAAAAGTTATAATTGTATTCTATATTTCAAAACGGTAGAGATACAGAAGATATAAAAATATTTAAATTGAATTTCTAGAGATGAAAACTACAATATCATGAAAAATATCCTAGATGGGATTAACAGCAGATTAGACATTGTCAAAGAAAAGATTTGTGAATTTCATTATATAATAATAGATATTTTACATGATGAAACAAAGAAAAAGAACTTTTGAAAAAGAGCATTAGTGAGTCGTGGAACAACTTCAAATGACCCAATATATGAGTACAGGGAGCCCCTGAAGGGTATGATAGAGTGGAGAAGGAGCAGTTCTTATTTAAAGAACTAATGGCCAAATTTTTTCCAAAATTGATGAAACTATAAATTCACACCCATAATTATGGCATACCTCAAGAACAAAAAGCAAGGTGAAAACTAGGCCAAAGAACATCATAGTGAAATTGCTGAAACGTAATAATAAAGAGAAATTTTCTTTTTGGGGGCTGGTCAAGTGAAGCAGTGGGAAGAGAAAATCTTAAAAGCAGCCTCCGTGGCCTTGGGCAGGGCTTGCCCAACAGCCCTGAGATTTAGGCCACATACCAACTTGATAAATCCCGTCCCTGGAGGGGTAGGGGAACACGAGTAACCACTTCTTGGACTAAGACATCAGGTAGCCCTAGGAAGTGCCTTTCCCTCAGGCCGGTGAGTTATCTTCCCCTCTGATAGGGCACACTTTGCCCATGGGGGAGGGGAAAAACAAGAAAAGACGTTTCCCAGTCTGGGATTTGCGGCAGTCTCATCCATTGCCTCCCCTTTAGCCCACCAAATCAGACTCAGCCCGGGAAGGTTGGGAGAAGGAGAAAAATCACTTTACCTGTATGACTAGTTTGAATATGTGGGACCTTGGAATTAAGCAAAAGGGGGCAGAGTGATGTCTACATACAGCTGGTTGGTTTTAATCATCCGATAAGTTCAGAACAAAAGGGCTTGCCCTTGGAACCCAAATTGTTGCCACTTAAGGGCCTAGGGTTCAGGAAGGAAAATCTTGACCATAGTCCTTAGCATTTGTACCAATTGACTCACCCCACCAGGAGCTCCTCCTCAAGTGTGATGAGAAAGATCTCTGAATAACATATTAACGTATGTTACTAACATATCCCCCCTTGATACAGATCAAGAAACCCTCTGAAGTATTCTCTCTTAGGCTCGCTGAGACCTGATGTTCCTCTCACCCAACCTAAAGTAGTAACAGGACTCTAAGAACCCTTGAGAATGGCAGAAGATTCCTTAAAGACTGAGAAACCTGTATATCCTATTAGGAGGCTTACAATGCAATACAAAGACATGGAATACCTTGGTAACTGACTCCTCCTAACAAACCACAGGTAACAAAAGAGAGACTAATCTCAGAGCCTAACATAGTGCCTCCCACCTCAACCTAGTGGTTGATAGTTGACTAGCACTCACATGATTGATCTAACCCAGGGGTCCTCAAACTTTTTAAACAGGGGGCCAGTAAACTGTCACTCAGATTGTTGGAGGGCCATTGGAAAATGTGGCACATAATCCACACATGGGCACTGTGGACCCAGGATGAGTTGGCTGCTAAGCAGGACAGGCAGCAACGAACAGCAAACACACCGGCCAGCTGGACAAATGTCCATGGCAAGCCGGAGTTTGAGGATGCCTGATCTAACCCCTGTGGGCTAAGCAAGGAGCTCAAACCCACTAAACTCTAGAGGCAAATTTGAAGCACTCAGATCAAAGATAAATCAACAGGCTCAAACTCCTCTAAGACGATACAGGACTAGAGCACATATACCCAGTTA